GTCTCCTTTTTTTGGTATTTTCACGCAAATTCTTCTGCTAGTTGGGGTTTAGTCCAATTCTGCATCCTTTCCTTCAAGTCTCAGGGGTCCAAGATTATCTTCTGTGTCTGTGTTAATTGGTTTCCCTTTTCTTTGTTGAAGAGGGTCTGTGCAATCCTCCTGCCTAATCCGCCATCTTGCCCTGCCTCAAGATGAGAATGTTTTGGTGATAAAAGTTAAAAAGGAAAACATTCCTTTGCATTATTACTTCAAAGCTATGATAACACATTAATGAAGAGTATTGAGAAATTTCCTTAATTCTAAACAGAACATGGGAAAAAAAAAAAAAAAAGGAAAACAAAAATGGTACGTAAAGTGAAAAATCTTCCAGTTATTTCATGTCAAGAATACAGCAAATTCTCACTACATTAGCTTTATATTGTAAATAGTATTTTTACACATATTTATGAATCAGATTATTTTAAAAAGAACACATTAGAATAGCCAATTACAGCTATATGAGACATTTCCTCTTGAACTAGCCTCACAGATAAATTATATTTTTGAGATTAAATCAAGAAACAATGCTCAATATAACTGGGATTCTAGTATAGTCTAATGGTTAATGGAGCTATCAAATATTCAAGGTTTGTAGGATATATAAAAAATATTTGTAAAATACAACTTAGGTATGCTAGAATAATGTTCAGAATTTTAAATATGAAAAAAGCAGAGAAGTTTGTGTCACTTCAAAGAATGTACTATACCCCCAACGCATAACTTACTGCTTCAGTGTAAGCTTCACTGTTCTGTTCTTCATGAGCTTCTAGAAGTTTCTGTGGAACAAAACAGGGAAAAAAACTTAATTTGGTGGGATCTGAATAGTCCTATCTGTGAACAGACACTTTCAACACAGAAACAGCTTTAGTATCACATTAACTCATGTTGCAAAATACCTCACAAAACTGGGGAAATATTCAAATATAAGACAAGAATTACCCCAAGTCAAGGATCCAGCTTTTGTATTAATATTTCCAAACTTCCTATTTCAGAACATAGTTTTATGTTTCTGACTCTACAATAACTGCTCACTTATTGGTGTGGTTACATTCTAAACACTAGGTTGCTATGTTAAAATTGGTGTTATGCAAAAATGGAGGATGACCACATCAGATCACAAAATGGAAGATGACAACATCATTACCTAACTGCCAAATTACATCATTATATAACTGGCAAACTACTGAAAATAATTGTGTAGCCAAGGTGACACACAAACTTAACCATCATAGCCAGAGTTACTCTCACCTTGCACCTTGGTGTTATACTATTAGACATAAGTTATTAATATGCAAAATAGTAGGACAGCAGGGTTTTTTTAAGTATTGTTGCAAATAAGAAATACCGGTTAACAAAACAGTCGATAAGTGAGCAGTAGGTGTAGTGATATGTGAAGACTCATAAAGCAAAAGCAAAATATACCAGCTCCTCTCAATTAGCAGACTCCATACAATTAAAATTTCACTCAATTCCCAATATGCCTAGGTGTTGTAACCTGACAGGATAGATATTTTCTCTTCAAAGTTCCCAAATGACTTACTTTCAATAATTTACATTCTCTTGAATCAGTAAATGCTGGAAACATTTCCTCATATTTCTCAAGGGCAAGCTAGGAAAGAAAAGCAGCTCCTTAGTGTCAGACTTACAGAATTAGGAAACAAAATCTTTAACATTATATTAACTTCAATTGTTATCTGTATCTATTTAAATGTCTAAAAAGCTTGCTGCTCAACTTAACATTAAAATCAACAATGAAATGTATTTATTTTGAACATTCAATTTCAATTAGAAATACATTTCCAAACCAATTTTTGTAACTTTCTGTGAAGAAGCCAATGTGAACTTAATTTAATTCTTAAAAATTCACAGACTAGGTATTTCTTTTTCATCCATTAAATGGAGAAGCTTTTCTTTAACAGTGTTCAAATTCCAAATAAATAAAGCTCACACCACTGCTAGAGGTTAGAGGGAAGAACAAACATTGTTTCTCTTAGTAACTTTAATTCTGCTCTTCCAACTCCAAACAGATATACCACCAGGTCGTCCAAGGCGTGTGTTTCTTTTCTCTCATCTTTCATTTTGCTTTTAAACTTCTTCTCAAATCCTCATTCCATCCTAAATTCTCAAGAATGAGAGTAGCTGGAGAAATAACTAGCCTTACTAATCAGAGTAAATACAGTCAAGCAGGAAACACTTTGTTCTTTCAGTTTTTTGTTGTAACTTAAAATATTATGCCCCACCCATTGCTGCTGAGTCAATTCCAACTCATAGCAATCCTGTAAGACCAAGTAAAACTCCCTCATAGGGTTTCCAATGCTTTAATCTTTATGGAAGCGGACTGCCACACCTTTCTTCTGTGGAGTGGCTGGTGAGTTCAAACTGCCAACCTTTTGGTTAGCATCTGAGCATTTAATCACTGTGTCTCCAAGGCTCCTAAATTGGACAAAGTTCTTCATTTATAAGTCAAGATTATATGCAATACCTTAGTCTATGAAAAAAGACATTCATTCTCTTGCCAAGTATAGTCCTGAAATGGTCTATGTGATCATCAAACTATTTAGATCCAAGGTCTGTACACTAAATACAATCCAATCTCCTTAAGCAATTAAAACAAACAAACAAAAACAAACCAGAAAAACAAAACAAAACTACAAGAAGTAAAAAACCTGCTCCTCAACTTCAGGAGAGCACATGGGTAGGTCTAAGCAGGAAAATATATAAAAATGATCTGATTATATTCCACCCTTCTGGCATATACCTAAGAGAGCAGGTCCAGGAAAACATGCCCTTAAGCACAGTGATAATTTTTTCTAAGGTCAAGGGTTTATATAACATTTATTAATTTATTAAACAAGTATGTTCTGGGACCTACTACACACCAGGCATTCTGTAGGTGTGGAAGGTATAGTAACCAACCAGAAAAGCTCTGCCCCTCATGTTCCTTACAGTATAATAGAGCAGAGGTAGGGCAAATAAATAGACACACAAACACATGGTTCAATATCAGGTTGATATGGGCTTTGAGAAAACAAGATAGGCTCCTACATGGGAGACTGTGTGAGAGAATGACAGCTAATGAAGTGGAAAATTTTTCCAAACAGTAAGTGTGTATGTGCAGGGGAAAGGTAGAGGGAAGGGAAGTCTCTGAGAAAAGAATGCATCTGAGTGTAAACTTGACCAAAGGAGGTAATAAGCCACAGGAAGATCTGAGGAAAGAATCTTTCAGACAACAAAAACTAGAAGGCAACAGGTGCAAAAACTGGGGTGGAAATGAACACAGCATGTCTGAGAAACAGAAGCTCAGGTTACTAAAGCACAGTGAACAAGAGGAGGTTGTAAGCCTTATAAGCCAGGTCCAGGAGTTATGATTTATTCCAAGTGCAATGGGGAGTCCCTGAAGGATGAGGAGAAGGGAACAGAAATGATACAATTTAATAGCACCACTCTGGCTGCTGAGTGGAGAACCAATGCTGGGGTGATGCAAGAATGGAAGAATGGCACTCAGTTCAGAAGCCAATGCACAACTGTACAACCAGGATTTTTAAGCCAGTCAGGACTGGTACAAATTTTTAAAATGGAGGCATACTCTAAATAACTTATAAGCTGTCACTGAGTCAATTCCAATTCATGGAGAACCCCTGTGGGAGAGTATTTTCAAGCCAATAAAGATACGACAGCCAATTCTTTTATTACATAACTGAAGGGGAATCTGGAGCAAAGCAGTATATTCAAACAAACATATTCTACCAATGAATGTGGACAGAAATAACAAATAATTATTACTTTCTGATTTGCTTTTTTTTTTTTT